TTCCGCCGACCGAGTCCGGGGTCCTACGGAAGTAGTAGCAACTGGGGACATCGGTCTCGTGGGACGAACGAAGGCGCCACGATACGAGCCGCCGCCGCGAATGCCGCTGCCGCACCGTTTAAAGGGCGCTGCTTCGCCCTTAGGGGATTGCTCGGAAAACGCTAAGGGAAAGGGGGAAGCTGAGCAGCAGAAACAGACCAAGCACCAGGGAAACGCTGGGAGTCAGTAGCAGACGGGCCCTCTACTGACAGGTCACGCCGCTCGCCCGACCCAACCGACCCTCATCGAGTGATTATGCCGGTTCACGCAATCGACCACACCCAGCCGAATAAGGAGGGTACCACAGTAGATAGCCCCATACGGCTTAGTGAAAAAATCGGGACAGACTTAGTTAAAATCTTCGTAGACGGGGGGGCCAGCCACAGCCTCATCAACACTGCCACAGCACGGAAACTGAAACTGCCACTGGACAGGTGTTTACCTGAGATTGACGCAAGACTGGTTGACGGCACGCCACTGACGATACGGGAACGCGTGGACTGAGTTCGGATTCGATGCGGGGGTAACTTCACGTTTAGCCAGGAAATGCTCGCAACGACCCTCGACGGGACCGACATTTTACTCGGCCGTGATTGGCTGCGACGACACAACCCGCGAATCGACTGGACGACAGGTGACTGCACTGTGCGAGTGAACGGTAACAACATCGCCTTACCTCGCTGGGGCTCGCCTGAGTCTTCGTCGGTGCGTGTCAACGCAATCACCATGAAACGCGCTGTAGCGGCAGGAGCTGACGTGTACGCGGTTGACATTCGGGAAGCCGAGGCAGCAGACAAGGGAAGCGATTTAGTGAAACTGCTACCTGGCGTACCGGATGACCTGGCGACACTACTGAAGCAGTACAGTGGGTTTTTTTCGGACGATTTGCCGACAGGTTTGCCAACTTTGCGACCGCACGACCACAGGATAGAACTAGAACCGGGGGCACAGGCGACAGTACAGCGACAAGTTCCGACAGACCCAACCCGAACTGGACGAACTACGGAAGCAGCTAGATTACCTGCTCGAAAAGGAGTTTATTCGCCCGAGTTCGTCACCATTCGCATCACCAATACTGTTCACGCTGAAGAAAGACGGGGGATTTCGCATGTGCATAGATTACCGCGCACTGAACCGAGTTACCATCAATTCCCGTTACCCCATCCCGCGAGCCGACAAACTGATCGACCAACTGCGCACAGCCCAGGTTTTCTCAAAAATCGACCTTCGAGGAGGCTACCACCAAATCCGTGTCAACCCGCCCGACTGCCCGAAAACCGCCTTCCAACACACTACGGATCATTCGAATACACGATAATGCCCTTCGGACTGACCAACGCCCCCGCCACATTTCAAATGACCATGAACGAAGCCTTCCGCCCGCTCTTAGATAAATGCGTCATCGTGTATTTAGACGACATACTGATCTACGGCACAGACCGAGCACAGCACCTACAGGACATCGAAGCTGTTTTCAAAATACTGAGTGAGAACCGCCTACTGACGAAAGCCTCTAAGTGTGAGTTTTTACAGGACAGACTGGAGTTTTTAGGGCACGTTATTTCAACTGACGGAGTGGAAATAGACCCAAAAAACATCGCGACGATTTAAGCATGGCAAGGGCCGACAAACTTGACTGAGTTGCAGAGTTTTCTAGGGTTCATCAACTACGTGCGACGGTTCGTCCCCGACATGGCGCAGTTAACTGCCCCGTTGACCGACCTGCTAAGGAAGGGGATTGAGTACACGTGGGGGGAGAAAGAGCAAGCTGCCTTCTTGGCCCTCAAAAATATTTTGTGCTCACCGCCCGTGCTTCGCATCGCAGATCCTCACCGTCCGTTCGAGCTCGTCACCGACGCAAGTGACATCGCTGTGGGAGCAGTTATGTTGCAGGACTTCGGGAACGGCCTTCAACCAATCGCGTACGAGTCCCGCAAACTTCACCCGCCCGAACGCAACTACCCGATACACGATCGCGAGATGCTGGCGATCGTGCACGCGTTCAAGGTGTGGCGGTGCTACCTGACCGGAGCCGACGTGACAGTACGGACCTTCGCGCCCAACCGAACCTCAATCCGCGACAGATTTGCTGGTTGGACTACCTAGAGTCCAACTTCCACTTCACCGTCACGTACAAGAAAGGAGCATCGAATATCGCCGACGCCCTCACCCGCCCTACCGCCCAACTCCACGCCATCCTACTCGCCCAAACCAACCCACTATTAACAGGCCTATTCACCCATGGATGCCGCACCGACCCATTTTTCACGACCGGAAATTCACAGCAACTGGCAGAGGCAAAGGGAGTATATTACGTAAAGACAGGCACCAACCGCATCTGGGTACCCGCGTACTCGCTACTGAGGGAACTGCTACTGCAGGAGGCACACGACGTAGTTACCTCAGGTCACTTCGGGGTAGAAAAAGCGCGACAGCAACTGCAGCGGTATTACTTCTGGCCGGAGCTGTTAACCGACGTACAGCACCACGTGGGCTCGTGTCCTACGTGTCAGGTGATGAAGAACTCGCGAAAAAAAAAAAAAAAAAAAAAAAAGGCGGGCCAGTTGCAGCCGATTCCACCGCCCGAGCGCGCCTTGTCAGAGGTCCACTGGTGATCCCCGATTGATCCTAGGAAAGGGTTACAGGCATGTTGGCCTGGGGGGTTATGGGCGCACTGACCCGCTACTTAACAAGCCCTTTTATCCCAATGGTCTAGTGGTTGAGATTCTGACATGGTATCAGAGCGAAGGTCTCGGGTTCGAATCCCAGTGTGTGCACTTCGGGCATCCCAGTGCGGGGGGGTGTCAGAGGTCCACTGGTGATCCCCGATTGATCCTAGGAAAGGGTTACAGGCATGTTGGCCTGGGGGGTTATGGGCGCACTGACCCGCTACTTAACAAGCCCTTTTATCCCAATGGTCTAGTGGTTGGGATTCTGACACGCCTGGCACCAGGTTACCATGTATTTCGTCACTGGGTTACCTTCGAACCCTGGGGGTAACGACGCGGTAATGGTCGTCGTTGACAGACTGACGAAAATGGCTCACTTCGCTGCGTACAGGAAATCGATCTCAGCCGAAGAAACCGCTCGCCTGTTCATCGCAACCGTCGTTCGACTGCACGGGATACCAGCCGCAATTATCAGCGACCGCGACACGAAGTTTACCAGCAACTTCTGGAAGAACCTCTGGGAGCAGTTCGGGACCATGCTACAGTTTAGCTCATCGTACCATCCCGAGACTGACGGTCAAACGGAACGGACCAATCAGACCATGGAGCAGCTGATCCGCGCCACGTGCGACGACCCGACAACATGGGAGCAGCAGTTGCCGCTGATCGAGTTCGCGTACAACAATGCCACGTCAGCGACGACGCAGCAGTCCCCATTTTACCTGAACTACGGGCAAAACCCAACAGTGCCCATGACGCCGAGTCCGGACAACCCAACGCCACGTGTACAGCAATTCGCCGAGATTCTGCAAGCTGCCCGCACCAGAGCCGCAGAAGCAATTAAAAAAGCCAAGGTCATCGCAAAAAGAAATGCTGACCGCCACCGCCGCCCAGTCACGTACCAGTCAGGGGATTACGTACTACTCGACACCCAGAACTTGAGACTGTCCGTCGTACCAAAATTACGATCGCGCTACTGTGGGCCATTCCAAATCAGCCACATGATCACCCCAGTCACCGCCCATCTACTGTTACCGACAGACTGGTACATCAGCCCATCGTTCCACGTCAGCCTGCTGCGCCCTTACATCCCAACCACGAGCCAACTGCCTCGTCACCACCCGCCATCCATGACTCGCCCTGCATCGGAGCCGATCATTGAGCCCGAAAAGATTCTGAGCCATCGGATTCAACACCCCACAGGCATCAAGAGGATCGAGTTCCACGTTCGCTGGAAGGACCGCACGCCAATTGAAGATAGCTGGGTGCCCCTGGCCAACATTGAAAACCACCCTGCCCTGCAAGTGTACCTGAGGAGCCGGGGTTTCCGCGATATACACGCACTCGCGTAGCGGAGGGGGCTTCTTGAGGGGGGGGGGGGGTAGTGTAAGGAATTTTCTCGATATTCCTTACCGCGACCATCAACATCGCGTACAGCAGTAGCTCAGTTCGCCCGTTACTGCTAACGGGGCTTCGCCAACTTCGTGCGCACTATTTCACCAAACCTTGCACTGCTGGCCCAGCCGAGTCGGCCTACGCTTCGGGACTAGCCCGAACCTCCATGCCAGCGTAACACTAGCTAGCTCGCACGCACCGCGTAACCGTTGCACGTTTTCGCACATAAGTATTCGCTCATGCCTTGTACTCTTTTGACACTCTAGTGCAATCCTCGCTGCTTCATTCCATTGCACCTGTAACAGGCTGGCACAACCATAAGATTGTGCTGTCACGAAGCATAACTTTGCATATAGTCGATATATATGTATATACATATATAAAATCTTCCGTGCTTGACTGAAGCCATGCAGACACTTCAAAAATATTTTAATTACAACAAAACATGTCAAATATTACTTGCCAATACATGGGATCCATGACGATGTGAACAGAGAACGGTTTCCCCGCCACAACAAGCTTACCGTCCCATCCTCTATCTGTAGGCCCAGGCCAAGCGGGAACCGTTTCAGCATCTTATGTACATTGTCCGTCACTGACGTCGGAATGGCGCATGGCGCAAACCCCATCAATAGTAACCGCTCCCTCCATTGCTCCGCCCTCTCCGACCGCACCACTCGCTCATCCCCTTCACAAGCTATCCCGTTTAAAATAGAGCGCGCGAAGTAAATCTCCTCAAAAACCGAGAGCAGGCGCTTGTCGGCATTCCCGAGGAAGACATCGTGGAAGTGGAAGGTGGAGAGGTGGTGGTCTACAATGTCGTGGAAGCGCGGGAGGAAGGCGCTGTGATTGGTGTCCATGTCCACGTCACAGAAGGTGAAGAGCGTTGGGTGCATGTCATGGATCCACTGGGAAGTGGGGGGACGAGAGGGGGGAAGGTGGGGGGGAGATGGGGAGGGATGAGGAGGGATGGGGTGGGGAGCGATGGGAAGGGGGGATGACGACGGGGAGATGTGAGTTAGGGGTGGCGGAGAGAATGGGGAGAGATGAAGTGGGGATGGAACAAGCGGTTGGTGGAACAGCAAGTGGGGGGGACAGAAAGGAGGGGTTGAATGAAGGACGTGGCAAGGCAAGGGGTGGGATGAGCAGCACGCAGGTGAGAGGGTCCATGTAAGTCGGTCGACCGCCGCACGCAGCACGAGAGGGTGTGAGGGTTGACTGACCCTGAGTACGCAGTGGCGAGGGCCGTTGGGGGAGTCGGGCAGCAGCAGCAGCTCCAGGAAGCACACCACCACCAGGGTCTCATGCCATCGCCGCTTCACCTGAGGGGGGGAGGGGCGGGGAGGGGGAGCAGCGCGGAGGAGACGAGGGCGTGGGGGGGGGGGGGGGGACAGCATGGGCTAATGAAAAGCACAGCACCACTAGCGCCTCGTGCCACCACCGCTTCACCTGCAGGTGGAGGGGAGAAGAGGGGTGGAGGGGGAGGAGAGCGTTGGAGAGGAGGGCATGTGGGGGCGGCGGTATGGGCAAAGGGAAAGAACAACACCACCAGCGCCTCGTTCCACCGCTGCTTCACCTGGGGGACAGGGGAGGGGGGTGGGCAGCAAAGGGTAAGAGAGGAGAGCATCCAGGCGGCGGCAGTATGGGCCAAAGGAAAGCACACCACCACCAGCGCCTCGTGCAACCGCCCCATGGGGACAGGGGGGCCAAGAACAAAGCACCGTGAAGGTGACCGTGATAACAGCACGATTCAGGCTCAGCTACTGCAGGGGGACCTCGCCTGGTACATGCTGAGTTCACCTGGTGCAGGGGTCACCTGGAACGAGGTTCAGGTGGAAAAAGCAGGCTCATCTGTGCAGGTGGATCTCACCTGGTGATCAGGTTGTCCTTCACATCTCACCTGGTACAGCAGCTGCAGATTGTCCTCGTCCACATTGACACTCTCAAACTCAAACGGCACGCCCAGGTGCCGCGCCACGCCCCGCAGCCGCCTCCCCACGTCCTCCATCGCCCGCAGCCTCTTGAAGTCCTTCCTCCCCGCGCAAATAAAGCTCGCCGTGTCCATCCCCGTGAGGCGCAAGGAAGGAGGGCCCCCGGGGCGCGAGGCGAGGAGCTCCATGAGCACGGGCAGGTGGATGGGCTGGAAGCACCCGAAGTCCACTATGTGCACGTGCGTGCTGCCACTCACTGCCTCTGCGATTAGGTGCGCGAGTGAGATGCTGCCGAAGAGTGGGAAGGGCTGTGAGGAGGAGTAGAGCGTGAGGGCCTCGTCTAGCTCCTTGGGAGGGCGCCTGAGAGGGGTGCAGAAGTGTTGAAACCCCGTCCCAGCCATGCGCCTCATCAACCCTTCCACCACGTAGTGAGTCAACCGCTCCACCGCGTTTCCCCGCACCTTCCCCAGCGGCTTCAGCTGCACAAACGCCGAATGAAACCGCCCGGTGTCCCCCACCTCTGCCGCCTCTGCCATCGCCACCATCTGTGCCCGCGCAAATTTCTCCACCGACCGAAACTTCCCGGAAACATCCGGGCCGGTGATTTCAGCGGATACAGGTCCGGCGGTAGGCCTGGGGAATTCCAAGGCTCCGACCTGCCCCCGAGCCTCCCACCAGGCTGCTGACAGTGCTGCCACTGCAGCCGTGCCTCCTCTTGCTGCGCTCTCCCCCATCCCCTTTATAAGCTGATCTGACATACCACTTGCTCCTCCTTCCCACGCTCCCCAGGGGACCCGAGAGCCAGACCCGCTATAGCCACACTCGTTAAGAGAAAGAGCATCTCTGTTATCAAGAGAGACCGGGCCGACCCCGTAGAGGCCGGAGGTTCGGCGGCGAGACCCCGGGGGCTGCAAGGACTGAAGGTCGTCGAATCTGGTCGCGCCACCTGGCAGCAACGGTTTCGCTCCCATTGCCTGCAGCACATCCTGGGCAACAGTGAAGCTGCTCCCACCCCCGCCCCCACCACCACCACCGCTGCCAAACACAGCAGCACCCCCGCTTCCAGCACCACCAGTCACCGCAGAAGCCGTGGAAAAGTCAAACGAGTCCATGCCCCTGACCCTTCCCCCCACCAGCACCACTTCTCTGCCTGCTGCCGCACCCGCCGCAGCCCCCCTCTGTGCCGCTGCCTGCTCCTCCTCCGTGCCGCGAGCGCCAGACGCGTCAGAGGAAGCGAGGGAGGGGAAGGCGGTGGCAGAGGCAAACACGAAGTCCGAGGGAGGGGCAGAGGCGTAGGCGGATGGAGAGAGGCAGGCGGAGGCAGCGGGAGGGGACAAGCGGGAGGCAGAGGCGGAGGCAAAGGGTGGGGCGGGCGGGGCGGGCTTGGACTGAATGTCGTTCAGAACGGCCGCCAGGCGAGACGCCAGCGCGGACGGGGGGGCCCTCCGCGCCCTGCTGCTCCTAGACCCCCCTGCAGGCGCAGATGCCGATGCGGGGAGGCTCCTAGAAGATGCAGCAGGGCCAGCGCGCGTTCTGGGCGAGGCTTGGCTCTTGCATGCAGGTCTTGCGGGCTCATGGAAGGTGCCATGGTGGGTCGTGGCGGTGGTGGGAGTGGGTGGGAGCGGGTTGGCTGGGGGCGAGCAGGCTGTGGGGGTGCTGCTGACAGCAGGCAGCAGGTTGCATCCAGGCGGGTTTCGGGCTGGGATAGAGGGGTGAGAGCTGGAGGTGGGCGGGGAGTGGGACACACCTATCCCAGATACACCTCCCCCTGCCACACCTGCCCCCGGCACAACTCCCTCCGCCACCCCTTTCCCCAAGTCCCCTCCGCCCTGACCGGACGAGCTTCCTCCAGACCCCGAGGTGGAGTGCGATGGGGATGAGAGAGCCGACGCTGACGTGGCCGGGGAGTCCGTCGTGGCTGGTGTTCCCGAGGCTGTTTCGCAGGCTCGGAAGGCAGGAGGGAGAGGCGCGGCAGTGCCAAGAGCCCCACAGCCAGCTGCGGCTGAAGCAGCGCCAGCAGAGACAAGAGCAGCAGCAGCAGAAGCAGCAGCAGAACCTGGCATGGCAGCAGCAGGCATAGCAGCTGTTGGCTGGTCCCTGAGCCTCTTCCCTCCCACTGACGACCGCGCAGGCGCTTCCAGAGCCACACTCGTGCTGGCAGCGAAAACACCACCAGCAGAAGCAGAACGCGAAGCGGCAACAGCAGCAGCAGCGTGCTGGTTGGTATGCTGTGTCAGCCCCATGGCTTGCGCTTGAAGCGCCCCTCCTGAACCCGCGCCACCAGCAGCAGCAGCAGCAGCAGCAGCAGGAGGAGCAGCAGGAGCAGCAGCAGCAGAAGCATCACCCTCGCTCACCAGAGACGACCCCCGCAGCAGCTGCTGCAGCAGCTCCCACTCGCCTCCCGCACCCATCCCACCGATCCCCACACCCGCCGCGCCTCCCGCGCCCATGCCACCGCTCTTCACACCGCCTGCCACCCCCCCACCTCCCTCCAGCCTCCCCGCGGCTTGCACGTCCCACGCTCGCCCCCCCTCGCACACCACGTACACGTCACGCCCTCCGCTCGCCCGCGCTGCCACACCCACCAGAGGGCCACCCGGCGATCCACCCCCCTGTGCCACTCGCCCCAGCGATCCACCCCCCTGTGCCACTCGCCCCAGCGATCCACCCCCCTGTGCCACTCGCCCCAGCGATCCACCCCCCTGCATTCCACCCTCCTGCGCCGGCAAGCCTTGACTCCCACCATCCCCAAATGATGCACCCAGCGCAGCACCTCTCGTCGCCAGGAAACTTCCAGGCAAGGGCTGGTTGCGCAGCTGAAGCAGGACTTGCTCCCGAGCCTGACGCCAAGCCACGGAGGCTCGGTCACAGGGGTTGAGAGCGGTGCTGCTGAGCAGGTCGGTTTGCGCTGATGCTGCTTGCAACAGGCCTCCTGCTGCCTGCTCTTGACGTGCTAAAGATTGCTGCGCTTGCTGTGTTAGCGGTTTCTGTGTTAGTGCCTGCTGTGTTAGCGCTTGTTGTGTTAGCACTTGCTGCAGTCGGTGATACTGTTGCTGTGTCACCTGCGCCTGCTGCATCTGCTGCTGCTCTTGCATCTTCTGCAGCAGCTGCTGCTGCTCTTGCATCTGCTGCATCTTCTGCAGGTGCTGCTTTTGCTGTTGCAAATGCTCCAGCTGCTGCTGTTGCGTCGGTTGCTGCTGCTGCTGCTGCTGCTGCCGCTGCTGCTGCTGGTGCTGCTGCTGCTGGTGGTGGTGGTGGTGGTGCTGCTGCTGCTGCTGCTGCTGCTGCTGCTGCTGCTGCTGCTGCTGCTGCTGCTGCTGCTGCTGCTGCTGCTGCTGCATCAGCATGAGTCCCTGTGGAGAGAGAACCTGGTGTGCTTGTCCCTGTAACAGCCGCCGTTGCTGCAAGAACTGCAGCTGTAGCAACATTCGTTGCTCCTGCTCTTGCTGATGCTGGATTAGCCCCTCCTCCTGCTGCTTCTGCTGCTGCTGCTGCTGCTGCTGCTGCTGCTGCTGCTGCTGCTGCTGCTGCTGCTGCGGCTGAAGTTGGCCGAGGTGTTGCAACAGCCGTTGCTGCTGCACCTGCTGCAGCATCTGCGTCGCCAGCGCGGACACATCCTCTTCTCGCTGCCTTTGCTCTTGCTGCTGCTCTCGCTGCCGTTGCTCTTGCTGTTGCTGTTGCTGTTGCTGTTGCTGTTGCTGTTGCTGTTGCTGTTGCTGCTCTTGCTGATTCTGTCGCTGGTTCTGCTGGTGTAGATCCATCTGTTGTTGTTGCTGCTCTTGTTGGTCTTCCTGTTGCTGCTGCTGCTGCTGAAGCAGAATCTGCATCTCCAAGTTCAGCTGCTGCTGCTGCAGCTCAAGCTGCTCCACATCTAATGACGCCAAACCTTCACCCCCCATTCCTGAACTTGTTCCAGAACCTGCTCCCGAACCTAGATCCGAACCTGCGCCCGAGGTTGATCCAACCATCATGGCCCTAGCAACAGCTTCGTCTAAATCCAACGGCCGGGGAAAATTTACCGACGAACTGTCAGGTTTTCCTATAGGCAACTGCATCTGCTTTAAGAGCTCTTCGTCGCTGCTTGTAACGAAGCCAGCGACATCGTTCGGATTCCATGGGAGCTGCGTCGAGTCTGAAAGCCACGACAGCTGCGACGGATCTAAGAAATGCAGCGGCAAATCCTGCAGCAGTTGCTCTCGCGGCTGCTGTTGCTGTTGTTGCTCCTGCTGCTGTTGCTGCTGCTGCTCCCGCTGCCGCGGTTGCTGCTCCGGCTGCGGCTGTTGTTGCTCCCACTTCTGCGGCTGAAGTTGTGCCTGTGGCTGAAGTTCAGGGATGGGAATAGAACTACACTGCTCTCCCGGCAACCTTCTGATGGCGAGCTTAGGATTTTCATAGTCGATCGAACCGTGCAGTTCCGACCATAACCGTGCCACGGACGGCAACATGGAAGGGGTTTCAACCGCGCTAACGGCTGCTTGGCGTGATGCGTTACCCGGGAGAGCAGTTAGTAAGATGTCATCCTGCGAACTCACTATACTCTCGTGAGAAGTCATGATATTATCGTGCGAAGCCATAATACTGTCATGCAAATCCCAGAGTAAAAAGGTCGAGAAGTATGGAGATGCGACAAGAGAAGTGAAGTTCATATCAATCCATCCCAACAAACACGGGCCAAGCGTAGATGGCAAGTCGGGGACTCGGGTCGGGACGGGACGGGAACTCGGGAGGGGTACGGATGGATTAGGGTTTCGTGGAGGAGACTTGTCGGGTGCCTGCGAATCCGAGGCATCGTTCTCTTGCCGCACAAGCAAACAGGGCCCTCCGCACAAGCCCTGCGGGAAGCATGTTCCTCGAAGGGTCAAAACTCCCGCGGTATCGGCGAAGTTTGCTGCTAACGACAAAGCAGGTTTGCAATCAGTTCTGTTTTTTTTCGTTGACCATGCCCAGGCTGCCCAGGATGCTCAAAACGTTTCATCCCAACCATTCACAAACCTTCGGCCTTTGGGCTCACCCTTACCTCTCGTTTGATATGTTTTTGTGGTGAGTAAATTCATCGCTAAATGTCCCAAAAACGGGCGTTCAGATCTGCCCGTTTTTGCTTGTGCGTCCCCTTTCTACCTCGGATGGGCGGTTAGGGTTCGCACGGGCGGTGCCTCCCGTTTGCCCGTATATGAAGTTTCGAAGGAGGGTCCGAGCGGAATAGTTGTGATGCGTTCTGTTACCCATGAGCGCACAAGAAAAACTACCAGGTTCGGTACACAATAACGAGTTGGGAGGCTCGACGTGGGCTTTAAGCCTTGTCACGCGCGTTCCTAGAATATTCGTCAAGGAGGCCAAGGACCCCCAATGCGCCCACAGAACGATACCCGAATGTTCTGTTGCGCTACAGTTGTACAGTGCATGCATGGCCCTATTGTAAGAAAGGGCGAAGGAAGCTTCCCAACGTCAGCAATGATGTTTAGAGACACTGTATCTGGGCGTAAATGAAAGTGACTGTAACGGGGAGGAAAGACGGAAATGTAGTGTTGTTCCAATTGGAAGCGTGTGGTGTGAAAGATGAAGACAAGCACGTTCCTTCCTTCCCAACCCTCCAATTGAAAGCGTGTGACAGCATTTCAATTTCCAGATTTGGAGCAATACGGATACAGAAGTGGAACAATATGGTCTCCGTAACAGAAGCATATACAGGTACACTGATGAATTAAACAATGCAGTCATAAGTCAGAGTTGACAGCCACATCACCCAAACCACAAATGCCTGCTCTCCCAAAAAAAAAAAACGGCTGCAGCATGCCTACAGTGGACTACATAACCAACTGAACCGACTCAGCTGCTAAGCTGCATTATAATTAGAACCACCCAGCACATGGATGGCCAGGAAAAGGCTTCATTGTGTGTATTTTGCAATCCAAGGATGACCTGAAACAAAACCACACAAGGATTTGAACAAAGATACCAAGAATGCCATGAAGGCGGCTAAGAAAAATCAACGACACAAGCTGAGATGCACAAATCACTACACCAACCCCACACACTCACACACAACTCCCTTGCCCACCATTCACAACCCCACCAATAAGACATGCTCCTAGAACCTCTCGCAGACAATCTCTAGGCCTGCGCGAACTCACCAAGAATCTCCTTGGCGGTAATTCTCGTGGAGGCATCCTTATCCAGCATGGCGCGCACAAGGCTCTTGGCATCCTCGCTCACGCCCTCCCAGTGGGGCCCGCGCATGCGCACAGGGCCGTGCAGAATCGCCTCCTGCACGGTGCGCCCGAGCGACACAAAGAAGGGCGTGCGACCCGACAGCATGATGTGCAGCACCACCCCCGCACTCCAGATGTCTGCAGCTGGGCCGTATGTTCCCGAGAGCACCTCTGGCGCCATGTACTGCAGCGTGCCCAGCTCCTCCGTGCACGGCTCACCTGAGGGGTGGAAAGCGATGGGGAGGGGTGGAAAGGGACAGTTAATGAGCAATGGGGAGACGAGAAGACGAATTCACAGCGGCACGATGCGGAGAGAACAAGGGCTGGAACGATAGGGAGGCGATCTGGAGAGAAGAGGAAGGGGGGGATGAAAGAGCTACCGAATGCTCACCTCGAGTGAACGTGGCAACGCCGAAGTCGGCAAGCTTGACGTGAATCTCGTCCTCGTCAGCAGCACCACCCGCGCCCTTGGCAGGAGCAGCCATGATGCCTCCCAGCACCGCCGCAGCCGCGCCGAGATTCCCCTTGTTCTGCGCGTCCCCGTCGCTGCCACCATCTTTCCGCCCCTTGAGCAGAATGTTCTCCGGCTTCACATCCCGGTGCACCACACCCGACACGTGGCACCACATCAGCGCCTGCACCACCTGCCGGCACGCGATCGCAGCCGTCCGTTCCTGGAGCCGGCCTTCGTCCTTCACGCGATCAAACAAATCACCTCCGGAGCAAAGCTCCATGACAATATGCACCGCCTCCTCGTCCTCGCACGTATCCTCAATCTTCACAACATGGGGGTGTCCCTTGAGCGCTTCCATGACCGCCACCTCGTGGCGAATATCCGCGGCGTCTTGCATGGCGACGATGTTGCTCTTCAGGATCGTCTTGCACGCGAGCACGCGGTTCGACCCGCGCTCCACGCACTTGCGGATCACGCCGAACTGCCCGCTGCCCAGCTCCTGCGGCGCGAGCACGAAGCGCCGCAGCAGCGACGAGTACGGGCGACCGAGCACGAAGTCGCACGGGCGCAGGTGCTGCTGGTTCGTCTCGTGGAAGGCTTGTAGGAGCTGCAGCTTCTGCTGCTGCCGGAGCAGCTGCAGCTGCTGCTGCAGCCGCTGCTGCTCGTCCGCCCATTGCTGCCGCTCCTCTCTCTGCCTCTCCTCCGCGCGCTCGATCTCCGCTTGCCTCTCCGCCAGCATCTGGCGCACCTCCGCGTCCGCGGCCAGCTGCTTGCGCGGGGTCGCACTGACAACGCTTTCGGTTTGCGCCGTTGTCTTCTTGTGCGCGTTCCGCGCCGCGTTGCGCGCCTCCTGCAGCGCGAACTCGCCGACGTAGGCGTCGGGCGCGTCGCCGAAGTACGACGAGAGAAAGTCGCCCGGCACTGCCGCCGCTCCGTTCGTCACTCCGCCGTGCTCCTTGCTGCTCGGCGCCTGCTTGACTCGCGTTGACTCTCGCGACTCGCGCGACTTTTCTCGCCCGCCGCCGTACGGCAGCACGCTCCAACGGTCAAGTTCCACGGCGGACGCGCTCGCCCGCACCGCAACCCGGCCCTTGCTGCTCTTCTTGCCGCCGCTACCGCTGCTGCGGCCACTCCGGGTGCTCCCGCTCGCGCCGAAGCTACCAACGGCGATGCTGTCCGCGCTGACGCTCGATGCGGGCGCGCCGGCCCCGCTGACGGCGACTGGCGGTAGAGCAGACGGCGGCAGCGGCGCATCCATGCCGACAGGCGCATCAACGGCGGGCGGGGCGGCGAAGGACACGTCGCCGAGAGACAGCCCGTGGCGGTGCTGCGCCTTGGGCGCATAGCGCGTATGCGCGGCCTTGGGGGCGCTGCTGGGGTGCAGCGCCGGGGGGGAGCGCGCGTCTTCTGCGGGGAGAGAGGCAACTCCTTTCTTCTGTTGCGCGGCAAGGAGCAGATTGTTGGGAGCCGACCCCAGCTGGTTCCACAGCGACGGTGACGTGGACCGGTGCATGCTGCCTCCCCCAGGTGCGACCTCCACCACCACCCCCTCGCTCCCGCCCTCGCTGGCCTCCTCGTAGTCGCCCCTGCGCCGTTCCGGGGTTGGAGGAAGCGGCGCGAACTCCCTCGATCCCACCAGCGCCATCTCTCCGCTGTTAGCGGGGGACCATTGAGCCCCGCCAAAAACCATCTCCTCCGCCTCGAGGAGCGCAATCTCCCCGCTGCTCGCGGGGGACTTGGGCGGCCGCATCAGCGCCATCTCTCCGCTGCTCGCGGGCGACGGGCAGCCGTCGCGCTCGTTGAATCGCCGCGGCTTCAGCGCGAGGGGCGGCTTCTGGCGGCGCGCGGCGCCGGCGATGGGTCGGGGCAGCACGCCCCCATTCAGCGCGCCGAGCTGCCCCCACGCCGCGGCATCGGCGCCACGCACCTTCCGCGCCACTGTCTGTGCCGTGTCCTTCAAAATCGTAACCGCCGCGCTGCTTCGACCGCTTCTGCTGCCGCCCCCTCCACCGTCCCCGTCGTCGCCGCTCTCCTCTCCGTCACTCCTCCGTATGTCACGGCGCATCTCATGGCGAAGCAGACGCGGTAGCTCTGGTGCGGGCGCCACTTGCCCGGATTTGTGAGACGCGGGAAATCCGCCTATCACAGAAGCCGCAGCATCGTCACGAAAGTGATCCGCGGCGGCGCGAGGGCTGCCACTAGGCATCTCCCTGCGGCTGCTCGAGCGTCGCCTGCGGCGCGCGAAAACGCCGAACGCGCCTTGGCACGACACGGTGCTGCTGCTGGTGGTGGAGCTCGAGTCGCCGTCGTCAACCTGCGATAGAGTCACACTCGACTGGCTCTCGAGCTCGCGGAGATCGAAGGACGACGCGGTGTCCGAAATCTGTCGTTCTCCGCACGAGCTGCTGTGCTGCAGGTTGCGGACCCCCGACTGCGCGAAGGATGCCTGCAATTCCTGCGACGCGACTCGGCGATGGTGTGCGAAGTGAGACTCGGCGACCCGCGGCGACGACGCAATACCGTGACTCCTTGCCTCGTTAAGGGAGCATATGTGAGCAGAAATGTCGCTGGGTTGACGGCGATGATTGTGGTGGTGGTGGGGTTGGTGGGGGTGGGGGTGTTGGTAGTGGTGGGAGGTGTTCGATGGCACCTGATGCTCCCAATACTGCGAGCGAGGCGGCTCGTGTATAAAATCGACGGCTACTGACGACGACATTCTTGTATCCGCGAAGATATATCTGTTCGCGATGAAGGACTGGGGACCGCTCGATGTCTAGGATTCACCCACTAAAGCGGCAGAATTAGTAACTCAAGGAAACGCGAGAACGAGCGAATCAACAAGGACACGACGTCTGCTGCTCTAATGGAGTCTCTCTAGCGTAGGTCACGGACGGTTGGCACAAAATGTGAGATTCAACGTGAACACAGGGAGATCTAGGGTGTGGAATGGCTGAGTGTAGTGTGACGGAGGGGTGGTTTGAGTTGAAGAGGTGGGTGCGCGTGAAGTGGTTGGAGAAGAGACACGGCCATGGTTTGGGACGGAATGGAAACGTGGCGGAGGGGAGGGCTCGGGTGAAATGTATCATGCGATTGGGGGTTTGGTTGAGCTGAGTTGAGAGAGGGAGTCGGGGGGTCCGGCCGGGGAGGGACACAGGAGCGGGACGGGCAGCAGGCGACAGCAACGGCAGCTCAAGTGTGCGACGAACAAAGTGCTGTCGCTTTCCTCGCTTATTCATTCGTTGCTGTTCCAAGCCAAGTGAAACTGCTTGGCTGGAAAAGAAAGATCCAATTCGACAGCGCTTTAATCCACTCCCTAGCTGACAGGTGGCAGTCACGTAAAACTGCAGCCTTCCCTCAGGTCAGTCTTGCCAAAATAAAACGATTGTGAAAAACATTTGGATAGTCAAAATACCATGCCATGCCATGTCAGAGACGTCTTGATCGCGGAAACTGCGAAAAAATGTGCGGGACAGTTACCTGACAGCATCAAATGGTCATTCTGGGGCAAAACAATATTTCGTTGGAGGTAGAAGGGCAAACTGACTAATTAATTACGTGTACGGCTACGTGTACACCTGCAGCGTTGCTCCCCCGATTCCAGAAACACAAGCACCTCGTCAACTTGTAAGCAGAAATACAGAAATGCAATCAAGATCAGGAACCTGCACGAACCTGGAATCTTGCAATGACTGTACTGTACAATGCTGCAAGCAACCAGAACAACCACTCTGAGCGTGCCAAGTGTACTACAGCATATGACATCACTCTCTACTTTCGGCAGCAGTGTCCTTGCTGCCCCTAGCCACCGCCACGACCACACTCGAAGCGAGGCACGTTGACCGCTCAGAGTCATTGCTGCCACATTTGGATCTGTCCAGCACAGTTCGCGAATTTCCGCGTGAAATTAATGAATTCCGTGTGGGAAGCTTCTGTTCCAATCCCAATCGTCGAAGTTGACGTGGAAATTGAAAGCACGATTGTGGGGAATAAAGCTACAGTTGTTGGTTCATCTGACGTTTTCAGATAGCGTAACCCAAAACATATGCAAACCAGCCCTTTTTGGTACACCCTCATTCTCGATAGACTGGCATATATTATACTGACCGAGACGCTTAGTGTAGCCGCACCGGACCAAAGAAGGTCCTATCACATACGTTATAGTGACAATTTGACCAAAGGCGTTTAGTCAAGTTTGAATACGTTCTAGAATGGTACTGGTATATTTTGAACGGTTAAGACAGTTATTCAGGGAAAACGGTTTAGGGTGGGCCGAGGCTTGTTCGTCACGTCGTGCGACTTTGCCCGCACCGAGTTATCGCACCAGCCCGCTACGTCCAAACACTGTAGCCAGTGCTTCCAACGGTGAGAAAGGTGAGAATGAGGGTGTACAACTCCAGATACAACTGCCCCCAGATACCTTTGTTGTTTTTATTTCGTTTCACTTCACAATATCAAAGTCAACAATTTTATAGCAGGCCATCTTACATTTACAGTTCATGCTCTGCGGCTCAGGCCGGGTTCACACAGTGGGAAGCGGTTCTCAAAATATACCATTTTGCACCAGGAATTTTAGCGAATAAGGATCAGGGACATTCCATCCAGCACATATGCAACCTGGTTGTTGGTGATTTTCTTTCTGAGATACCAGTTACCAACATAACCATTAAGAATGTTGGAAAAACACGAATTTAAGCACATTCGTTTGACGAAGTCGTTTTACCACTGTTCAATGCAGAGTGCATAGCCCATATGGCAAGTGGGCGCATGTATGCTAATGAGCGAAAGCGGCCATCCGTGTCCCACCCCTCAGGGGTCTGAAACCAGTACCTGCCCATGTTTGAAGTCAGAGGGAGGAGGAAAAGGTGAGGAATGTACCTACCATGCCAGGAAAACCTGGAACCTCATCATATGTGGACATGGCTTGTCACAACACATCCCACCAATTGCACAACGCAGCATAGCTCATACTACCAACCATGCAATGCTTCTCACCCTAGCTCATCCCAGCCCGCCTGGTGAATGCCCTGCGCCGTGCGAAAGGCCTGTGAATGCATGCCCTGCAGGTCCCAGGGACAGGATGGGCGGGAGGAGGGGGTGGGGTGAGGACACAGACCTAGTACATGCATGTAAGCGTCACTCTCATGCCACTAAGTGGATATGATTTTGGTGAAAGGCGGCTTGAAGTCATGTCATGCCATGGCATGGCATGGCATGCCATACCATTCCATTCCATTCCATGCCATGCCATGCCATGGCAGGAGCAAGTTGAAGGCATATTGTGCATCAAACCAAGCCAAGTTGCAAATGGTGCACGAGTGAAGCATGATGGCATGGTGCATGAGTGAAGCATGATGGCATGGTGCACGAGTGAAGCATGATGGCATGGTGCACGAGTGAAGCATGATGGCATGGTGCATGAGTGAAGCATGATGGCATGGTGCACGAGTGAAGCACGACCACGGTGCATGGTGCAGTCTCACCTCGTAGATCATTGTGGCAGCCAATCCGTATGTGACACCTGTCCACACCTCCCGTGATTGCAAGCACGTGTCATCCACCTGACAGAGCAGGCACATGAGGAGAGTGAGGAGGGAGTGAGGAGGAGTGTGAGAAGGGAGTCAGGAGGAGAGTGAGGGACAGAGTGAGGAGAAGAGCGAAGAGGAGAGAATGGGGCATGGAGATGCCACCCGTTCAGATCCCACCTGCCCAGATCCCACCTGCCCAGATCCCACCTGCCCAGATCCCACCTGCCCAGATCCCACCTGCTCAGATCACACCTGCTCAGACCCCCACCTGCCCGTTGGGTCGCATGCCATTGACTGCCCCCATGCTGCCCCCCTCCAGCCGCATCACATTGTTCCTGATGGTGCCATGGCCATCACATATGGGGCATGGGGCATGGGGCATAGGGCATATGGGCATGAGTCATAGTTCGGAGAGCGGCCAGAAAGGCCAATCATCTCCAGTCAGACAGCGCAGCGCGATCAGTGAACAGTCACCACACCAATTACTGCCTGTTCACATCCATATATCCACTCCACATCCAGATATCGTGTACACCCTTCCTCGAAAATCATTAACGATCCGCGAAGGCGTAAAACCTCCCACACAAAACGTTACACCGATGCCAACAGCCGTCGAATCAGTGTCACATGCACTGCTCAGCTCATGGAAAAAATGAACATATTGCATTAGTCCCCACCCCACTCACTCCAACAACATCCGCATGCCCAACTCACTCAAATATCATCTGGAGAGCCTTGCATGCCATGGCTGAGTCAAAGAGCGGCGGCAGGCCACAGCTCCACAGGTACCTGCCCCGGCACATGCAAGAAGGCGAGTGGGGGTGTACGGGAGGGATTATGAGGAGGAACATAATCCTTCCTTCCTCTCTTTGAACAGGGGCTGCAAATGAGTCAAAGAGCGGGGGCAGGGCCACAGCTCCTCAGGTAACCGGCTCTGCACATGGGGAGGGGTGTGGGGTTGGGGGAGAGACACAGCGGCGGAGAGAGGAAGGAAGTGAGGCTCGGCCAGTCAAGCCTACGACTGCCCTGCCCCCTGCTCAACCCACCATCTCCCCTCCCCCCTGCACCTACCGCTACCCATCCCTATGCACCCACCAGTACCCCCCCGCTCACCACTGCACGCACCACTGGCCTGCGAGTTGATCCGCGTGAATGGAGTTGCTGTTGCTGCTGCTGCTGCTGTCGTAGTTAAAGTACCTGCGGGGTGGAGGCCACGGGCAACGCAGGGGTGCATTGGGTGAAGAGGGGCGCATGGGTCACACGTGGGAGAGTGAGGTGTGAACGAGGGGGTGAGGTGGAAAGGGGAGGAGGGCGAGCGGAGAGGCTGCAGCAGGGAGGAGATGGAGCGAGGGGGGGGAAGGGGTGACAGCGAGAAGGGGCGAGGTTGAGAGGGGTTGAGAGCGGTAGGGGATGTGGGTGCGAGTGTACAGACCTGCCATTCCAGAGCTTGGCAATAAACGCCTCCCTGCCCTGCCAGGCAGGACACACATGGGCGCGGACGGCGCATTGTGGGGGTGTGAGGAAACAAGGGGGAGAAGCAGAGACATAAGGAGAAGAGGCAGAGAGGGGGAGAGGAAAGTGGGACGGGGGGGAGTTGGTCCCTCTTTCCTCGCACTGTGCGGCACAGGTGCAGCAGCAAGCGGCTTTTGAGGCGCCTCAAACATCGTCCCTCCTTCCTCGCACTGTGCGGCACAGGTGCAGCAGCAAGCAGCTGATATGGAAAAGCACAAGGTGTTGTGTGATGTGAACGCACGGAGGCAGCTGGTAAGAGGTCATGCCCACCCCCCCCCACATAACCTCCTCCCAACCAAAAACCACATTTCCGGCTCTGCCTCAGCCCATCTCGTCCCCTGATCCCTCGCTTGCATCCCTCCCTCCGTCCCCCTTTCCGCCTCTGTTCCCTGCTGCCACACTCACCCGCTCACACTGCCGTCGCCAGTACTGCGCATACTTGGCCTCCCCCACTGCATCCGCCATGGCTGCTCCTGCCTGCAGCGCTGCCAGCCACAGCCCCCCGCAGTACGCACTCACTCCGTGCACCGGCCTGGCGAGAAAAATGGCAACGAAAAAGAGATAAAAAAAGAGAGGAAATAATGTGGAAACGATTTTCCACTGCTGTGCAGGCTGCCACAGCGCCGACTTTTGAGGCGCCTCAAAAGGCCGCCACAGCGCCGTGCTGATCAGAAGGGCCCTCGCAGAGGATGTTGAGACGAAGACACGTGGCACTTGCGCGACGGCGAGGCTACATTGCTCAGTCGACTCAAACAATGGGGCTACAGGTTGGTGAAACAAGCTGTTGTTGGCCTGTACGAGGTGCTTCACATTATTCGCCCATCCAGCTGTAGCAGGACACGGATGTAGCAGGGTGGCGCCACGGCATCCACCCCCGTGCAGCACCCACCCCCCGTGCAGCACTCACCCCCGTGCAGCACTCACCCCCCGTGCAGCACTCACCCCCCGTGCAGCACTCACCCCCCGTGCAGCACTCACCCCCCGTGCAGCACTCACCCCCCGTGCAGCACTCACCCCCCGTGCAGCACTCACCCCCCGTGCAGCACTCACCCCCCGTGCAGCACTCACCCCCCGTGCAGCACTCACCCCCCGTGCAGCACTCACCCCCCGTGTAGCACTCACCCCCGTGCACCACTCACCCCCCGTGCAGCACTCACCCCCCGTGCACCACTCACCCCCCGTGCACCACTCACCCCCCGTGCAGCACTCACCCCCCGTGCACCACTCACCCCCCGTGCAGCACTCACCCCCCGTGCAGCACTCACCCCCCGTGCAGCACTCACCCCCCGTGCAGCACTCACCCCCCGTGCAGCACTCACCCCCCGTGCAGCACTCACCCCCCGTGCAGCACTCACCCCCCGTGCAGCACTCACCCCCCGTGCAGCACTCACCCCCCGTGCACCACTCACCCCCCGTGCACCACTCACCCCCCGTGCAGCACTCACCCCCCGTGCACCACTCACCCCCCGTGCAGCACTCACCCCCCGTGCAGCACTCACCCCCCGTGCAGCACTCACCCCCCGTGCAGCACTCACCCCCCGTGCAGCACTCACCCCCCGTGCAGCACTCACCCCCCGTGCAGCACTCACCCCCCGTGCAGCACTCACCCCCCGTGCAGCACTCACCCCCCGTGCAGCACTCACCCCCCGTGCAGCACTCACCCCCCGTGCAGCACTCACCCCCCGTGCAGCACTCACCCCCCGTGCAGCACTCACCCCCCGTGCAGCACTCACCCCCCGTGCAGCACTCACCCCCCGTGCAGCACTCACCCCCCGTGCAGCACTCACCCCCCGTGCAGCACTCACCCCCCGTGCAGCACTCACCCCCCGTGCAGCACTCACCCCCCGTGCAGCACTCACCCCCCGTGCACCACTCACCCCCCGTGCACCACTCACCCCCCGTGCAGCACTCACCCCCCGTGCACCACTCACCCCCCGTGCAGCACTCACCCCCCGTGCACCACTCACCCCCCGTGCAGCACTCACCCCCCGTGCAGCACTCACCCCCCGTGCAGCACTCACCCCCCGTGCAGCACTCACCCCCCGTGCAGCACTCACCCCCCGTGCACCACTCACCCCCCGTGCAGCACTCACCCCCCGTGCACCACTCACCCCCCGTGCAGCACTCACCCCCCGTGCAGCACTCACTCTCTCGCACTGCCTCTGCCTGCAGCACTGCTAGCACCATGCGATACCACACGCCACGCACCAGTTATCGTAGGTCTGGTCGGGGAACCCATCGTTCTCTATGAGCCCGTCGTCATCGCGGTCAAACCTCTCCACCGCATCCATTGCCGCCACCACCGCCGCCCACACCGCCCTGCAGAACCGCACGTTGCCTGTCGCCCTGTAGTCCCGACACACCTGGTTTAGGGGTTGGAAAGGAGGGGAACACAGAGACACATTCACTGAAGTGCCTAAAAATTTGTTCTCCACCAGCATGCAGCACAAACTTGCCGTAAAGACCCTTCCACTGTACAGTGTCGTGGTTTCCGTAGGTGTATAACACGGATTGTAAGGACAGTACAACACACCTGCAGTTGAGATCTTTCCACTGTGCGATGTCATGGATGTTGTATGCATTGGGGAAGACCCATGGGTCGTGGCAGCCCAGGTGGGAACACAGGAGGGAGAGCACAGTGGGAAGGCGAGGCGAGTACACACCTGCAAAACAAACTTGCAGTTCAAATCCTTCCACTGTGCGGTGTCATGGATGTTGTATGCGTTGGGGAAGACCCACGGGGCATGGCAGCCCAGGTCGTGCGGCACACTGCCGCGCGTCTTGTTCACGCGCGATGCCCCGTCCGCTAGGAACCTCGTCATGCGCCGTTGCTGGGGGGGGAAGATGGGAGAGGGGAGGTAGAGTGGCCGAATCAAAGGAGGAATGGAGAGGGGGCATGTGGTGACATTGAGGGGAGATTTTTTAGTCGACTCAGACTGGGGACATGTGGTGACGTTGAGGGAAGATGGTGGTGTTTGAGTGACAGACAACTGGTGCAGACCCTTCGAACAGATACGGAAGCCAAACAGAGGAGTCAGTATGTCTGGAAAGGAGAGTTGGCAGGTAGAGGCACCTGCAGCAGCGTGCTGACAGCGAAGTCCCGTTGCAAGCTGAGCTCGAGCAGCGGGAAGAGGGCGAGCAGCGCGAAGGACGCATAGAAATGCACGTCGTACCTGGTGGTGGTGTGGGTGCGTGGGGCGGAAGGGGAAGACGGAGGGGTCAGAGGAGGGGAAAGGGGAGGGGGAAGGGGGAGGGTTAAGGGAGTAGGGTTGGGCAAAAAAACGAACACCTGTTCGAGGCGAACCGAACAGGTTTGTGTTTTTTGCTTAAAGTGTTCGCCAAACAGTGTTCGAGGTTCGCCAGAACACGTTCGTGTTCGGGGTGCTGCTGCAATTTGCCCCGCGACGAACACGAACGTGTTCGAGGTTCGCCCGAACACGCCTTCACAGGCGAACGGCGAACACCCGTTTTTGATAAAAGTGTTCGCCGAACCGCAGCAGAGAGCATGCAGCGGCGCGTGTAGCATCAAGGGCACGAAGCCAGGAGAATGGGGCAGTGTGGGAGGAGTACGGTGCAAGAGAGTGGGTGTACAGGGAGGAGTGCAAGGCTAGGGTGTGGCGTACAGGGCAAGGGCATGAGGAGGACAGAGCGAGCGAGGGAGTGGCAGGGGTCTTGCGGCTTGAGCCACTCGTGCTGCTCCCTCTCCTCCAGCCGTGGCCCTCCGTCTGTCGGGGGCGGGAGGAAGGTGTGGGGGGGGAAGTGCACGGGGAATGGCAACGACACCTTGGAAGTGATTGGCGTTGGGAGATGATGCAGAGGGAAGCAGGAGCAATGTGAGCACAGATGAACAGTTTGATGTACAGAAGCTATCCAGGACTCCTATGTACCAATCACGTGCCCTTACCCGTCCACAGCTCGCCATTTCCCGTCCACGACCCATCCTTACCCGTCCACACGGTGCCCCCGGCAGTCGGAGAGCGTCACTCGGTACCTGGGAGGGAGGAGAGAGTGTGTGTGCGCAGGGGGTGGCGGGCGGGCAGGAGGAGAGGGGTCGGAAAGGAGGTGAGGCAGGGCTTATGGTGCATGCATTCCTCTCAGGCCGTGAGGAGGTAGAGCTCGTTGAAGAGCGTCACTCGGTACCTGGGAGGGCGTTGGACAGGTGGTGCAGGAGTCGAGCAGGAGGGCAGGTTGGAAGGGCAGGTTGGAAGGGCAGTGGAGCAGAATCACAGTGGTGGAGATATGGAGGAGGAGAGAGAGATTACAAGAGGAATGCAGTACAGTGTAGAGGAGATAAACCGAGTGGCGGGGAGTTGCACACATGTGGTGGATGCACAGGAAGGGGAACAGCCACGCGCATACCATTCAGGCAGTGAGTCGTCCTGCAGAACGGGTCGCTGCCATGCATCTATGGCCGCCTCCCAGTTGCTGTACCCTGTCATCCATGGCGCAAGCAATCGGCAGGGAGCATTGAATCTTTGCGCAGTTGACATGGAGCCATGACCCCATCTATTGCCCATGTTCCAAAGACGCTCAAAAGATGTTGAAGGCATTGGCATTACAGGCCGAAACAAAAGAGAAGCTGGGATCACGCATCACTCTCTCCCCATCATGCCTCCACTCCGCTTCACCGTGACTCACCCAAGAGAGCGTCTCGGGCCAGCAGGTGGGCTGCCGCTCCATGGTGCCCGTAGAACCGCGTGTAGCGCCTGCCATGCCATGCGCGCACGGGGGACAGCGTAGTGCACGGTGGATGCAAAACACGAAGGTGAGGGGAAGAGGGTACGTTGAGGAGTCTATCAGAGCAAAGGACCACACCAGACCTGAGATGGTAGTTGCCTCTCGCCTCCATAGGTCTCACCCCGCTAGGTCTCACCCACCGAGGCTCACCGCCCTATGTGCCACCCACCCTTCCCAAGAAAAGCCCGTCAAGGGTGGCGCAACACGCACCTGAGGTAGTGGCTATCCGGGTTGAAGCGCGCAACAGGCACGTCCCAGCACAGCGTGAAGTCCACGTGGCGAGTGGCTCCAGGCGGCACCGACACTGACGCTGCCACTGCCGCCCCGATGGCCGTGCCGGGGAACGAGGGGTGCGATGCCAGGGCTGACTCGTGGTGAGGGGGGAAGGTGCCGGTCTGTGGTCAAAACAGGGGAACGGTGGGGGTGGTTGGAGGTGTTGGGAGGGAGAGGTATGGAGAGAGTGAGGCAGTGACGGCTGCTGATGGCCGTGCCAGGGCTGACAATTAAGGGATGGAATGGATTGGATGGCCTGTGGTGGGTGCGATGGAGGTGAGACGTAGAAATGGAAAAGGTGAGGTGAACATGGGTGGGACAATGAGGTCAATGCATCGGCCTGAGGAAACAAGTATGAGGTGAATTGTACCAGAGAAACACACCTTCTCAAGGTGCTGCCACATGTCAGCAGCTGATAGGCCCTTGCAGGGGCCTGAGAGGACAAAGTGCGGGCAAACAGACACGCGAACTTCGTCAGTCCCGCTGTCAGCAATCCCGTTCGTTGAGTCAGCAGCTCTGCAAGCTGAGTCAGCGATCCCGTTGGCTGAGTCAGCAGCGATGGGAGAGGACATAGTTGCAGAGGTGGCAGAGGGAGGAGCAGTGTTGGTGGCGCCAATCCCCCCTCGTGCTGCAATGGCTAGAGTCACTGGGCCGCCCACTTTGGAGGACCTGCATGCATGCAGAGGAGATGCGGCAGAGGAGAGGCAGCAGGAGAGCGTAAGAGAGGGAGCATTTGTTAGAAGTTGGGCTTTTGTAGAGTGAGGCATGAGCATAAGGGGGTGTGTGGATCAATGAAATAAGAGGCATGCATGGTGGTGGATGGATCCGACCTGTGCTGCAGTTTCACGCCTTTGATGCCCCTGTCCATCCTGACACGCACAAACACCACAAGCATTGTCAGCAGGATGAAAGAGGGGAAATGAGAGTTATGGCACCAAGGCAGGCGGTGCAGCAAAGCGAGGCACACGTGGAAAGGATGTGCAGGCAGTTGGTGCGATGGTGGTTCCATGGTTGACGGTTGCTTGGTGGTGTGTTGTTCTCACTCAAAGGCAGTGTTGAGATGGCCGCCAGTTGTTGCAGAGTCCCCCCCTATGGAGTTCTGCAACGTCACAAGGGGGGCAAAGGATTGAAGCAGGAGATGATGATGGGTTGGGTGGACCAGAAGAGAAGGGATGGGAAGGAGTGAGGGTGCCGCGCAGTGCAGTGTGGTGGTGCGTGCACATAGATGAATCAGCTTCTACAGAATGCTAGCCAGTCCGTGCGCATGCTAAACATTTTGTGCGGTGTCATATGCACAGACTAGGAGAGCTACGAGGCGGATGGACTTGAGAGGAACGAGGCGGTAACGCAGTACGATGGTACAGCATGCAGGTGAGGCAGGGCATGCAAGGGGGGACTCACTGCAAGGGAGAAGACGAGTGTGACGTCAGCTGGTGTAGTGCCCGTGTTGGCTACCTGGTCAAAGGGCAAGGCAGGAGCATTAGTGCACATGGTGAGCACAGGGCCATGCCCAAAACAAAACAAAACGTGCAAGCAATGCGATCCTGATGATGATCACGAGGGTATGAAGAGAGAAGAACAACGTAAGTTGTAAGGGGAAGAGGCGGGAAGAGCAGGGAACGGGAAGGGGAAAGGGGCGGGGGGTGTGGGCTTACAGTGAAAGCGAAGACGGAGGAGGGGAGGGAGGACTCCTGGTAGTTGTTGGGTATGAAGGGCGACACCTGGCGACACGAGATGGTCATCTGGGGGTCCGGCTCTGCACGCACAGGGAAGCACACACGGGCAGGCAGCGCACACCCGCAGGTGCACATAAAAACGAGGCAGCAGATACATACACCACACAAGCTCAGCTCCACACGCGGATGGGAATGGAAGAGAGTGCCGTCAGCAGCATCAGCACGTTGCAACACAGGGACCACCTTGCATGCCAAATTGCACCATGAACCATACATACGCACGCACGCACGCTATGCAAGGCACTACGAATGTTCTTCCACGTCCCACCCTACCCTAGTAAAGCAATCAACAAACATGACATGCTGGCTCCACCCGCTAGCTACCTTGATAGACGGTCCAGGCGCGGGGGAAGAGAGCATAGTAGGTGCTGCACGAGCCATCCATGTTCCACCCCCACGCATCGATGCCCGACCCACTCGCCTTCCTCCGTACACCCTTGGGCACGCCAGGGTAGAGCACGGAGGAAAACTTGCGGGGTTGGTCTGCTGGGCTCTCTGCCTGCCT